AATATGGTTTTAGGAATCTCTATGCGTCATCTGATCTTTTTATAAAAACCCAGCAATTCCTCTACCCCAACTAATGATGAGCGTGAGTTAAGTTGCTGAGATAGCTAAATTTAAACTAGCGAATTGAAGAACCGTCCGTTTCGTCGCAGATGACCTTTACAGCTTCACCGGGTTTGGGGACGACGAGATCCTAAAGAAGGGTACCTCAAGCCGAGCATTGGCAAGTGCCTCTAGAGGTATGCCAGGTGGATGGGATCTCTAGACCACTCGAACCCGAGGGGGTCAGTTCAACTAGAGGGCGTCCCTGAGACTCGGACCTCGGCTCTAGTTAGCCGTTGTCGTGGGGGTCTCGTTTCGTGGCAAGCAAGCATAGTATGGTCCATCTGATGGTAAACAGTCATCCTATTGTATAGACCAGGGGGGCCTTTTTTTTTTTTTTTTAATACGCAGGTAAAAAATCTATTTACAGACGACGGCGCCTTTAAAAGGCACACCGCCGAACGGACCTCACACCTGGCTCCCGCAAGTCTTACGGACCCCCCAGTGGCTACCCACCGAGGACCCCGCAACTCTTACGGGCGCTTTACGGTATAATATCCGCTAAAAAAGTCCTGCGAATACCTCTACACTGCTTAGCGCGAAGCCGCGGGGTCCCCGTTTAGGGAGTCTACCACGGCTTCGCCCCCAGCAGCTTCCCGGCCTCGCCGGGGCTCCACGGCAGGGGTCTCCCGCGGTATTTCGGGGACCCCGCAGACGTGCGCAGGTAGGCCCGCGCGTGGGGGCTGGGTACGCGGCCTACTGCCCACCATACCGCCCCCCATCCGCTGCGGAAGGCTAAAGCCCTCCGCCACCCTCCCCTTGCAGACAGAACCACATGAGGAGGGCCGCCGTTCCTGGAAGGGACCGGGAGGGGAAGCGTAGTTCTTCCCGTCTCTCTCCCCCCTCCCGGTCGCCCACGTCTCCTCGCGTCTTCTCCTGGGAGAAGAGGGGGGAAAAGCGGGCGACAGCATTCGTGGGGGGTCCGAGCGGCCGAGGCTACTCGGACATCCCCCCCTCCGAGGGCGTCCGCCCGGGCGCCGCCTCAGAGGGCCCTTTCTCGGGAGGTTTCCCCTTCGTGACCGGCGGGTCACACCTCCCTTTCCCCATTACATGGTCGGCCGGCAGACCACTCTCTTTGCATATGGCGCAACAGGGCTCGGCAGCGCATTCCGCCGCCTTGTGTCCCTGCTGCCCACACCGGAAGCACGCCTGGCTGCGGTCGTGCTCAGATGGGCACTGTCGGCAGGTGTGCCCCCTGCCCATGCACCTGAAGCAGCGCATAGGAAGGGGGCCCAGCAGTCGCACATGTGCGGCGCACCAGCCCACTCTGAGCACGCCGCCAACCATCACCTTCTTGGCGATGCCAATAGGGCACCGCACCACTGTGAGCCCCATACCCCCTGGGCCAGGACGTGGACGCCATCGTGGCTGAGTCCTCCAGACCAGTCAACCGTAGGCCCGCCATTTTTTCTGGCCTCCCCACCTCAGCGAGGTCCGCCACCGCCTCTCGAATGCGCGCCGCTAGGGCATCGGCCTTCTTCCCGCTGTCAGGCCCAGGGACAATCAGCAGCTTGTCCCCGGTCTGACTCGCCTTAATGGTGAGACCATCCGTTATGCCGACGTCGGGCAAGGAGATATCACTCCTTGCCTTCTCCATCACCCTCTGGAGGGTGACGCCCTTATTGGCGGCCTCAGCTGTTAGTTTCAGCGTGATGACCGCCGTCGTCGGAGTCTTCAACTTCGGGGGAGGGGGGGGGGGGGGGTCGCTGACGATCTGCCCGCCTTTTCTCCCTTACCTTGGCCGGCTCCTGCTGCGTGTCTTGTGTCGACACTGCGGCAGGTGCCGGAGTCCTCTTCCTCTTTCCCTTGCGGGCCACCACACTCCAGGACTCCCGTGGGTCCACGGCCACCACCCCATAGACCAGGGGGGCCTGCAATATTGCTATGCTATAGCTATAGCATAAGATTTCATTTTATTTTTAATTTCCTTATTGTTATTACCAATAAAAATAAAAAAGCGGTCAGAAATAACAAAATGAAATCATAAGCAAAGTTTCTCTTTGTTTATTTAATGTATGTTCTTCTGTCAAAGGTTTTCTGTATGTAGGTCAATAAGCGTTTTGTTTTCTTTCTTTCTTTCTAAGCTATAGTTATCGCCATAGCAATTCCGTTAGGCGGTATGCCCCAAGGGATGGCCAAACTACAGCCCGCGCGCCATCTCCGGTCTTCGAGTAGTTGAATTCGGGCCCGCGAACATCAAGCAAATATCAAAGGTACTCACAACGATTCGTTAATATCGTTGGGTACACACCAAAAACTACCATTTCGTCACATGTTTCCGTCAAGGACCAACCGACTGCCGAATTTGGTACCTAATTATTTACAAGGCAGCAAACTCAAGGGCGTATTTAACCTGCTGCAGACTGCGCGAGTGGCATTCGTAACTGAGCTATATTTTGATTTGATTTGTTAATTTTAGTGGGGGGAGCTCAGACTACAGAACAAAAGGCAGATAGAGCGCATGGAACACGCAATGCGGCACGCCCAAAGCAAATACGAGGTCAACAGCTAATATTAATTCACGTCAATACACTACAACGCATCGCGTTGAGAATACATCAACAGCCTATTAATGTCACCACTGCTGGGGCACAGGCCTTCCCTATGGATGGAATAGGGAGATTGGGCCTTGACCCACCACGCGCACCCAGTGCGAATTGGTGGGTGCTGACGACTGCAGATGCAGCCGGGACCAACGGCCTTCCGAAGCACGGAGCTTGAGTTAGTAAATTTTAGGTCACCCATCCAATGACCGACCACTGCGAAAGTTGCTCAACTTCAACGATCGCAGCTGAACGCGCTAAACATTTGCGCAATCGAGCACCTCGTTGAAAATTCTTTTTCGAAATTTTTCGTTGAGAATACGTCCCTCGTGAATATTAAGTTTTAACAAAACTGTGCCGCCTTGTTCAAATATTCCAAAAACTGTTCACAAAGACAATCAAAATCCTTTGACTTCGTATTTGCTTTGGTGCCACGCATTGCGTGTTCCGTGCGCCACATCTGCTGCTATTTGTTCTGTAATCTGGGGGGGGGGGGGGAGAAACCGTCAACACGTACTTGGTTTAGACGCTTGGCAATATCAAAATATCACTCCCGTGTTGCCTATCCTGACAAAACATCAAGAAGGCCAGCGATGTCATTCGTTATTAGTTTATTTTGTTCCGTAACTAGCACATTATCGGATTCCGGGACAATGAGGTGTAATTACTGGATCAAGACGTAAAATTCCGGGACAATCCCGGATTTCCCGGTCATCTGGCAAACCTAATCCTGACTGACCCTATTTCCTATGTCCGTGGCGCTCAGATATAACTGAGCGTTAGAAAACACCTCCATCAAAGGTAGCTGGTGTTGTTACACTATGATCTCCTTTAATGGATGACTTTCACAGGTAGCTGTTTCAATATGAGGAAAAAAGATGAATTTTAACACTGAAAGCGATTTAATTATCCAAAAATTAGGGCTATGCTCACACTGCATGGTGCATCTCCTTTATTGACCTTGACTTTATTACCCAGGTATCATTCTAAAATCTAACCCAAAAAACCTTCTATTACAAGACCGCGACTAACTATGTACTTACAATGATCGAACGGTAGGCCTCAACGGTTTCTTTTTTATTTCTATTACAAATCGAGAGATACGATCGCTAAAATACTACAAATTATAACCGAAACATTACCGACAATCCACCGGCTGTCCGCATTCGATATAATCGAGAACTCGATACTTGCGTCATTATAATCGATTCCAACCATCGACATGCTATTGTTACTATTATTTTATGCTCCCACAACTACGAAGTTATGTTAATAATTTGGAATTTTGAACTTTATTTTGTGGTTGATAATGTTTTTGTGATTGAATAGAGTGGTTTGTTTCATCCAAGGTGTCTTGTAGTGTGTAGGAATTTGTTTTCGTGTCATACAAAGTTGAGGCATACGGTAAATACTGTCTTGAATTCCAGAGGAAAGTACTTGGAGTCAGTTAAAAAGTGAAACTTTGTGATACTAATAAAAATCTTAATTCATGAAAAAGTAGAATGAAAACTGAAACATAGAACTCCTACATAAAGTTATACATACAACATCTACTGAAGTCTCCAAAAACTTGGTTATACATATTAAACTAACATTTGTTGTACAGATGGAAAAAAACTATTGTCTAATTCATTTAAAAGTGATGGCATTTATGTGGTTAGCAGTAAGTAGATACATGTCTTACAACAATAACCACTTTCATTGATTTTATCACGGAACTGATTCCAGTTATTACAAAAGCCGAAGTTCCCATTATTGTTTCTTATCGAGCAAACCCTGATGTGTCAGTCAAGTTTTTGTGCGATTCGATTGGTTACAATTACGACCTCGATCGTTTAATTAATTGCAGACTCCATGGATTCAATTTACTATCAACCGATCATTATAGTTCACTTCACTAAAGTAAAAGGAATGACTCTTACGCGTGAAATAACAAACAAATTATACTCTCACTGTTATTTTCTTTACGACTTTCTTAAAATTAGAACGAAAATAAGCAATCTAAACGAATAGGTCAGAAATGATTGGCACGAAATAATTTTTATTCGAAGGTTGAACAAAAAAGGTCAAACAGTAATCCTATAAATAATCAACCTTTTCTTTGTTACAGATCCACGTACTCACCTGACCTACAAAAAGGAAATAACCGCGCCAGATACGAACGAGAATCAAGATCCAATCATTCGGAACTAGTACGAACGATGACTGATTAGGCATAAACTCAAGCCGCCCGGCGTAAGATTGTTCAATTAAAAAGTTATAAATTAAGAAGTAAAATGTCACGGTCGAACGCGCGCAGTTGATTCGACGTTTGAAAATGCGTGTGAGCGACACCTAGGATTCGGCAAAGAGAAAAAGATGGCGCACAAAGTTAAAAACAATCATTATGTGGCGACACATCGATCAGGCGTGGACTCGCCGTCGTCCGGTGCATATTTGCATCGGGGTTCCTCAAGAGATGAAAATGACAGTCACAGGGCGCCCTCTGAAAGGACGCTGTCCGAATATACGGTGAGTAAAGTAACTATAGGCTAAAGGCCTTATTAGATTACGCAATATTCAGCGTGCGATATCAAATTCAAAACCAAGAACTTTGGTTGAGCCTTAGAATCTAACCGGACAGCACAATGCACTATGAAAACTATACAACCTCTTAATATATTATTGATCCACGACTACGCTAATGCTTATACCACACCTACGTGAAGAATCTTCGGGTGATCGGGTGGCTTCGGTACTAAAATTACCGTCCGAACTTTAAATTAAGTACGCTCCTCGAGCTGCACGAACAAATTTTTCGTTTTCGACAACCTCTTTTAGCGTGTCAAATTATCACCAGTCATCTACCGCACATGCAACCCGCTAAATCATTACGATAAAACTAATTAAAATTTCGAACGCAAATTTTTAGCGCATTTAGTACCTGAAGCCGGCTGAAGCTTCGTCGCGCAGGTGTGGGGAAAGCATAAGATTATCACTTGTAATTTACACAGGAGACATAAGCGAATTCAATTATGATTCTTTTATTACCCAGAATTTATGTTTTATTTTAGATTAATAATGCTCATTTCTGAAAAAGCACTAAACATACTTGAAAACGCTTTCAAAGAAAGCATTCAAAATATGTCAAAATCATGTTATTACAGACTGAGTCGTAAAATTATGTTCAACGTGCATTTGAACATAAATATTTTAATTACCGCTTAGGGTACTTAGAGAATCTGAATATGAAGTGAGCGCAGTTTAGCTTTGAAGTTGAAACTAATTAAAATAGATTTACCGGCCAACTCATTCCAATATGTTAATATGCATGGATACAGTTTCCTATTTATTCGCATAATAATTAATGTCAGAATTTATCTTGTCATAATAAAGACGTTAACCATTGGGATTAGTCTTTAGTAAGACACGATTCGTCGTAAATAGATTATTAAATACTTACACAAAGTTCTACTGACATCCTCATGCTTAGATATTATAAAGTAACTAAATGTAAAGTATTACGCATTTCACCTGCAATAAAAAATTACTTATGGCCACGGAGAAATTAACACTCAGCTTTTTCTGTGTATTTAAAGTGAAATAGTACATTACGATACGCGTGACCTAAGTTGCCTATTACTGCACGGCGTGAAGTTAGCGCCCGAGCGGAGCGAGGGTATGAAAGTAAAATTCATGTATTGCAATCACAAAGAATTGCAATACAGACTGCAAGTCAAACTCTGAAAAGAAAGAATTCCGGTTCAGATTACCATTTTGAAAGTATATTTCAAAAGGAAAAAATCAAATATCATTACAACAAAATAGAATTTCAATGTATCCATGAACGTTTATTCCTTGATTGGCATAACAATATATTAAACAAAGATACAATTCTCGCGGAATGAATTATAGCTAACCGTTTCTCCTTGTTTTGGCTGTCACTGAAAATCCCTAACCTATCGCTAATTTGTCATTTGTTTGCAGTGAGTTTTTAAGCTCCAAATGACATTTAAATGTGTTTCCTTTTATTTTTTCTACATGAGTGAAGTTGGTCAATTCATTTACACACCGTGCAGAAATAGGCAACTTAGGTCACGGAAAAGCGTGCGTAAAGTGCGGGTTTAGGTCACACTGTGCTATAAATTTTATTACATCTATTATATATATAAAAATCAATTGCTGTTCGTTAGTCTCGCTAAAACTCGAGAACGGCTGAGCGGATTTATCTTATCGTGGTCTTGAAATTTTTGGGGAGGTCTAGGGAAGGTTTAAAAGGTGAGAAAACATGGAAAAAATGCGAGGAAGATAGTAAAAATACAATTTCATTTGTCCATATAAACTGTTCTATCTATATTCCTATCACACATTTAACAGGAATAAAGATCTTATTTATTATTTCTTCCAAATAATTGTAAGCAGTACGAAGTACGCTGGGTCAGCTAGTCGCTAATAAATAATAATTTGCATTCATCTTTAGCATGTGCGTGTCACATTACGTTTTTGATTGTTATCAAAAAATTCAGACCTTATCAAAGATCATGTGTGGGTCGGTGGTAGAAAGCTCGCCTGCTGCCTTAGAGGCCCGAGTTCGAATACCATCCGAGGAAGAATGTTTTTTATCAATGATTTCAAATTTCTCTTGCATGGTGTCGTGGTTATAAATACACAAATTTATTTCTTCCATTCTTTGCTTTAGCATTGAACCCAGTAAATTATTTAAATCAAAACTAATAACTTAGCTCAAGGAAAAAAAATTTTTACTGTCGAAGATTTTTTTAATGACTAATTTGACAATCGAATAATGTAAATGAGCTATTTATTTAGTATTGCATTTTGATGAAATGAATGAATATGATTGAATAGATTATTTTCTGTGTAGATTATTTAAATTAAAAAAAATACTTAATGGAATTATTTGTATTATATATCATGGTATTTATAATTGTATAGTAAAGACCCTTATTTTAATTTAATTTAACTTTAATTTAGTCTTTTGTATAAATTGCATGACATTTATGGTAAAATATGTAGAATTTGTTTTGCAATAAATAAAATCTAAATCTAATCTGAAGATTGTCAGACGATTATTATAGGCATAAAATAATATGAAATTCTAACACATGAGTTGTTTGTTGTATCGAATGAAAACACATGTTGATTTATTTCTGACGTCCGCGTGCGTAACGTTTTGGTCACTCGCGATTAAAACGCCAGAACATCGGCATGATCGAAATGTGGAATCAATAATCGACGTATTACATCTACAACCGTATGGTGTGAATACAGAAACTAAAAGCGTTCAATTTCCGTATTGGCAATATTAATTTTGGCTAATTTAGTATCGTTAAATACTATTGAAAACAATAATATTTAGTTTCTTTTAACTTTTCCTTCGTTTATTTCATTAAAAGAAACGCTTTAAACAAGCTTTCAGAAAACCGTAATTTCATTCTAAAGAAATTTTACTATATATTTTTTTATTTTTTTTTCAAGCATCGATCGATGATTAAGTGTAAAGAAAAACTAGAAAAAATTCCACACGGACCAGGCAACAGATGGGACTCGAACCCGCACCCTCCGCAATCCGGACAGACGCATTGACCATTATGCCACCGCGGCCCTACGGCCCTAATTGTCCCTGTCGAATTATCTCCAGTACTTCTTAAGCTGCAAGGCAGCGCCAGCGCCATCTCTTCGCATTGTAGGTAACCCACAATATCAATCGAATACCGTTACAAGTATTAAACATTTGAAAGCAGAAATACATTTTTTAATTATTTAACCCCTAGGTGCATTAATAAAAATAAAAAAAAAATTATACATAAAATTCCACGAGGACCTCCACAGACGGATTCCACAGACGAGACTCGAAAGTTTTCTTTAGATTTAAACATCTAGCAATTGCTGATTTAAGTTTATTACCTACTTCTAATTCTTTTGTTGTTTTCTCAACTTGTGACAACCATTAGCAATCCTCATTCCCAGGAAGTCAATATTTACTGGGAATTAAACGGTTATTAACTATGCGGAGGTACTTCGACGGGAATAGATTTTACCGTCTTGTTATGAGTTGAAATATATACGACTTACCAGTTGTATGTAGACACGTGGTAGTACATCACTAGAGAAACAACGACAACATGATATACTCAGGTCCATTCCATCTAATTTATTCAGTTTATGTGTTTCATCGTCATACTCATCAGCCTATTATTGTCCCCACTGCTGGGGCACAGCGGCACAGGCCTTCTCTTTGGATGGAATAGGGAGATTGGGTCAGACAAGCCAAGTCCATATTGTCAGCAACAATGATTCTTATATCTATGTTAGCAAAATGAAAACAAATCCAAATTTAAATATTGAAGACGTCCGTGGCCGAGTGGTGTGTACGACGGGTTTCAAGGTGTCGCCTTCTCGAGAGGTCCTGGTACGAATCCCGGTGGGGACAGATGTCTGTGTGATGAATACGAGTATTTGTACTCCAGTCATAGAGTTTTAATATGGTTTACTATATAAATATAATTACATATGTATCAGTATTTATGTATTCTGTCCGTTACCCTAGTATCCCATAACACAAGCCTATGGTGCTAACTTTAGGGCTAGTCTCACGGACCGCAGTCCGCGCGGCTAGCCAATTGAACAGCTCCCATACCTACCAGGTAAAACAACTCCCCGCTCTTCCCCTCACCCTCCAGGCGTAACTGCGGGGTCCAGTTATGAGTCGCCGCTTGTAGGTTAATTGGAGAGTTTAAAAAATATATATAACTGTCACTAAAAATTTAAGTTAATAAATAATATTTGATTGATTCAGACGGTGGAGGAGCGGACGCGGTCTCCGTCCGGCGAGGCGCGGCACGGCGGCGGCGAGGTGCGCAATGGCCGCCGGCACCCAAACGGATCGCCGCGCGCCGAATCGGGCTCCGACGTTTACGTCACCAGCGGCGCCTACCGACCTCCATCCGAAATCAGGTAGGCTTGCTGCCACTTCTTTCAAACAAACACCCAGCAAAGCAATAACAGTAATATTCTTTATTGCACACAGCAAAAGACATCTATCTATACATATAATAAAATGGTAGGAAAGTCAAAACTGTACATAGAATATTTTTTTAAAGAATACTTAAATAAGGGGTGTGATCTACAATCGATACCGAAGCCAGAAATAGTAGTTTTTAGAATTTTTGTCTGTTTGTCTGTATGTGTGTCCGGGATAAACTCAAAAAGTACTGCATGGATTTACTTCAAATTTTGGCACGAACAATAATAAGAAGTCGGGTCAACATATAGGCAACATGTTATTACGCTATAACCTACGGGGAACGAGCAGTGAACCTTTATTTCTAACTAACTCAACGCGTACAAAGTCGCGAACGGCCGCTAGTAATTATTGCAAAACAGCAATCTCTTCCTGACATTATATTGTGGTAAAGGAATTATAATACAGAAGTATAGAAGGTTTCAAAAGGAGACACAGGAGATATACTAATATAAGAGAAGATAATAATCAATGCGTGATATTAACACGTGATGTTTATGGTGTGGAATGGGATGTTACCCACATTCACTGGATAGCTGATGCGACAGGAAAACATGTCACTAATGCCCTCACCTCGTGCACTAGACAACCACGAGCAGTGACCACAACGACCAGATAAACTAAAGAAACCATGGGAACATCGCGCACTTGGACTATGGCGTACTTAACTGACGACCGGACGTAGACACGGTTTAAAACCGTGCCTAGACCCGCATAGAAATAGTCCCATTAACAAGCGCCCTATAATTCTAATCTAAAATATTTCGATATTTTTCCTGCCTACACTATGATACACCATGCGCTGAAATGAACGATGTTTTACTCTATGTTAGTCGCACCTCTAAGAGTATATAAAGTAAGAAGGGCTTCCTTCACACCATTTTTAGGGTGCGTCTTACTCCCTCAACAAATCAAATATTGAGTGAAGAGTCGCATAGCTATAGCTATATTAGCACCACTCACAAATGAACGCTGCGAGTGGGAGGTTCCTATCCTCCGCCCTCTACTTTTTTTCTTTTTATTCTTACACAAGTAAGAGTTCCATATGATACTCGCAAAGTCTAAAATTGATCGTACGAAATTAAAATAAAGAATTTTTATAGTTCTCTGCTTATAAAACCTAGGTTCATGAGTGACTTTTGAACAATTTTCTCATAATGATAACGCTCTCCATGCCTGCTCTATTGTATTAGGTTACACCTGTAATGTAAGATGTAGGTGATTATTATTATTAAATAAAAAAAAAAACTAAAACAATGGATGTTGTTAACCCTTTTTAAAGTCATATTGTTGATCGAATATTGGAACGAACGATATTGGCGCTTTTTTTCTTGTATATGATATAATATTACATTTATCTGCGTTAAGAAATAATTGTTTTTCGTTTCAATATTCGTTTAATGAGTCTAAATCGTCTTGCACTAAACATCTTTGTGTCATCTGCATATTGAAGATTACAGCTATTTAGTAAATAATCACCAATATAGTTCACATAAATTAAGAATAGAACCGGCCCAAGGTGTGATCCTTGTAGAACACCGGAAGGCAGAGACAAAAAACTCGAACAGTAACCTTTGACACAAACAGCCCGACTGCGATTACGAATATAGGATTTAAACCATCGTAACAAGTCGCCATGAACACCGACTCGTGAAAGCTTTTTTTTAATGAAAAAATAATTCTGTCTATCAGTTTTAACAGATTTTCATGAATTTTGAGATACAGGAAAACTTGTCGAAGGACATAGCCTAATTTTTGTTATAAAATTCAAACTTGAAAGGGGCTTTATAAACTATATTTTTGGAAACTAATTATTCAATTTATTGCAAAAATAGTCGCGGTCTCACTAGTAAAAAGTATAAAAAAACGAGCGGGTCTTACAGTTGCATATGATTTGTAACATTTAACATCTCGCCTTATATTAATCAAAAAATTAAAAATAAATAAAACCTATGTACTTCAAACGAAATAAGCAATGTATTCTAAAATCACATCAAATAGCGCGCGCTTTCCGGAATTCCTTTCCACACTTCCCCATTTCACGAAATCATTCCCACAAAATGCAAGACAAGACAAACAATTACACATCATGTAAATGAGGAGTTGAATAGCGCAGTGGTTAGTGCGTTCGGTCTGACTTTCACTATGACCGGTCTTAGAATGAGTGACCAATAAATCATTTTCAGGTCCTCTGTGCAGAAGGTTCACACTGGTGGATTAGGGTGTGCTAACGATTCTGACTAGCAGCAAACTCAGAGATGTATTTACCCTGATGCTGAGCTACAAGATTAGAGGAATTCGTAACCGAGCTATATTTTGATTTGATTTATTTTTTTTTGATTTTGACAATGACAGATTCTGACCCACTGTAATATTACAAAAATATATTCGACTTTTTTTCTCGTACCGATTTGATTATTACTTTGTAAAAGCGGCGGATACGAAATAAATATTAAAATAATTTGTATCATCTGTTTCCGTTAGGAGATGAACGAAAACATGGCATATTCGTATTGTTTCACGACAAACAATAAAATGCCAGTCAAGTTTTCGTTCTCTTTTTTAATATTATGGATAAAATAAGCATTTCGGTTATAAATATAATTAATTTATGTTTATAAATAAGTTTAACAATTATAGTACCTTGTATTTTTTATGCGCATACACATTATTAAGTGGTAGTACCTATGTGAAACTAAACTTTATTCTGGATTGATATCCTTTTGTTTGACGGAAATGTCAAACAAAAGGATATATTTGGATGACATTGTCGTTTGTGATTTGGAACCATGTTGAGATGCATAAATTGTTATTTATGTCTCGATAGAATACAAAGACATGTCGTTTATACACTATCAGCTACAATACGGACACTGTTGAATTCATGGATATCGTTACAACAGGTTTGATTGATAATTTAATAAAACAAGATATAACGAAGTGCATTCTCATATTTAAACATTTTATTGAAACATAAGTATTTAACTAAACTGTCCTTTTAGCCATCACCTGAAGTAGTAGTATGTTATGAATGTTACTTGCGGTTAAATGAGATTTGTCGCAATGGAAACATGGAAGCTGTAAGAGAACTGGCCACTTCACTGGCAACTGACTACTACTAGAATAGTCGCGACATACAAGACTTCACTATGGCACTATTTGTTAAGCTAGGTTTTGCTAGACCTAGATGATTCTAAAAAAGGGACACATTGTTGCTTGTATGTATAAAATATGTCTCATGTAGCAAATATATATATTTCATATTCGTTATTATTACAATTATTTAAACTATGAAGAGAACGATTGAATGTTTGCCTGTAACGAATAAACTCGTTTATAATAGGAATAAGGAATAATTTATAGAAATTCCAATTTTCTGCTCAAATTGCAGCTCGAGAAACCTATGATAATTGTACTCTTTGTTAGTATATTATTCAATAACCACAGCTTCTAGAGAATTTACAACTTTACTATTTTGATTCCTAATATTACAGCTATCAAATGTCATTTATCGCATTCGTGTACACCAATTTTATCGGGTGGGTTAAACCTCTATAGAACTTCTGGCATTGTCCTTTAGGGCGTGGCACTATGGGAACTTTGACTCATTTTCATCTCAAAAATCTATAACTCCTGTGTTAATCTTTATTAATGATGATGATATCTTTATATCATCATGATTTTTTTTCTGATAATCTTGAATATATTTGCTTTTAAATAATGTATAATTTGTGTATAAAAGTTTATTCATAATACTTACAAAAAATAGGAAAACAAAAACATATACGATTTTTTAGACTTACATCTATGTTTTAATAAGTTTATAAAGGTAACTTGTAAATGTAACTGCTTAAAATTAAAAACAAACATCATAGTAGCTCAAATGCCACTTAAGAGCTTCTTTTCTTCATCAAAAAGTTCTTAATATTTTTTAGTATAAGGTTTTCTCAAACTTGTAATTTACGGATCAGAGGTATACAATAGCGTGTAGAACATCTTCGTTGGTGGCTATCCTCGAATATTTTCTGGCATTATGAAGCCTGAATTGTTTGTAGTTTTTGTTCCGTGACTCTTGAGCATCTTCTAAAAGTTGCCTAAGAGGCAATACCGAAAAATGACGTATGACACTTTCACCATGAATCAAAATCTCGTGCACGGAAGATGGCACATAGTACAATTTATATTTATTAACATACAGTTGTGCTCAATCAAATCCCATCTCCAATTTCTGTTTTAGCTTAAGAACTGTTCTTTCTATCGACCTGCTTTAATACAGCGTTGACGAAACTGAGTTATGAAAGACTTCTGAATATTTGCGATAATTTTAGCAATATTTGCATCTGAAGATTCGGTGAAATTGATTCGTATATAGTTAGCGATGGAAACACCATAATTTGAATCACTTTCAAACAATAAGAGACTTAGGTTGCGTTTGGTACACGAGAACTGACTCATTGCGGCAAGATATTTAAAAAACTATTATTTACGACAAGAACTAATGAAGAACTGTAATATTTCATACTCAAATGCACTATTTTATACCGCTAAATTATGAAAGACGTGTGCAAAATTAGTATATATAAGCTATTTTACAATTTTGCGGTTTTGCGATTTTCCATGATTCTTATGGGAATGGGATGTAAATATTATGTTAAATACAAGATATTAGTATAGCATAAGATAAAAAATAATATAACAAAAGGGCCATTAGCCTTTATTTAAATATCCGTGCTGAGAAACCCGAAATCAGGAATGTCTTATTATACGTACCTAAAAATATATGTTTTCACACGCTGATATTCTAAGACATTTGACAATGTTATGCACTGATACAGCAGAAAAAAATTTGTTGCCGTCAAATAATATTATATTATCTAAGAAATAACACAAAAAACAGAACTTCGGCAAGCTTCGGCAAATGTCAAAACTCCAA